GCAGCCGTGGCTGGGGGCGGTGTGTGGTGCCGCTTCCCTTGACGCGGGGCGGCCGCGGTCTCGCCTCGGTGGCGGCCGAAATAACGGTCCGGTCCCTTGTCGCCCCCTGCCCGTTCCCCCAGGGCACTATGAACGAAGAGCAGTTTGTGAGCATCGACCTGGACGATGACAACGTCTGCAGCGTCTGCAAGCTGGGGACCGAGAAGGAGACCCTCTCCTTCTGCCACGTTTGTTTCGAGCTGAACATCGAAGGTAACGCGTCATGCGAGTCGTTTTGTGCCAACTCCCCTCGTAGGCTGCTTAGCTTGGGGGTGAACGCTGTTGAGCTTCTCGGAAAGCCTTCATAAACGCCTAGGTTTGGAAACATCCGTGTTTCAAAGTTTTCTTGCCTGCCAGGCTGGTTGGTTAAGTTCCTAAATAGCTCGTTTCCAGTAAAGGGGGGCGCCCTAGCTGTTCCAGCGCCTGCTGCTCTAGTTATAAAGATGTAAACCACCTTTTGAAAGCTTCTGAAGTGCCTCACTGTTAATTTCACCTTCAGACTTCCGGCCTTAATTTGGAAGGAGTTTATGTTCTGCCTGTATTCAGGGTTTTTGTTAGAGGGGTTTATGTGTAAAACTTAACTTAAAAATTTTAAAGTCAAATAACTTTTTTTGAAAGCAGATCAGTGTATCACTGTAAATAGTCAGAAGGTTGGTTGGTTTTGCTTTCATAAGGTGATATAATACATGTAATAAGATAAAACTGGGTTCATTGTCAGAACTTCTTAGAGTCTGCAAACTATAAAGTGGGAATTTTACCCATCTTGGAAAAGTTTAATCTTGTAAGCATTGTTTCTGGCCTCTGAAATGATATTTTTAGGATTTCAGACCTTATTTTGCTATTGAATTTACCTATCTTGTTGCTTTTTTGGGTGCATGAATGAGCAGTAGATTATTTTTCTAAGTCAAATAAGGATTTTTTTGAGAGTATATTGTTGCTTGATTTTTTGGGGGAAACAAAGTAGTTTGTTCCAGTTATATAAAGTGGTATTTGCCAATTTTACATGCACGTAACTACCTAAGTAATCTATATTGGTATGGGGCGATTGAATATGAAGAACTTAATGCTGCTATGTGAATAGTCCCGTTTCTTGATGACAGATAGTAAGAATTGCTGCATCTCTGATACACATTGAGAGCACACTAAAGCTCTTAAGGTCAAGTCTTTCTGAGACAAAAGTGGTACAAGGTAGGAGCGCTGTACCCAGTGATCTGTTGCTCATTCTGAACCCTAGTAGCATAAAACTGACTGGATATAGGGGGCTATAAGGATGTGTATTCCATACACATCTGGTTTATATGTACACATAAAACAATTTGGTTCTTACCTTTCAGAAATCTGAAAAATGCATTGGCAAATTGGAGTAACTTTTAAATACTGATTCAGTAATGTGTTTTGATTTAAAAGAAAAAAATAGTGATGCCTCTAAGGTCTGTGTTGCTACTAGAGGCAATATATTTTAATCTGAGCAGTACTTGCATACTTCAGTAGTAATTTTCATGCTTTATGCTTTTGGTTAGAAGAGACATGCTTGTGTATTTGCACGTTTTGATAAAACTCTGAGCAGCTATCTAACCTAAGACAACCTGTCAGCCTGCTTGAGTTTTCGTACTGCTTTAAAATGATAGACTTATGGTTCACGATACAGAGTTAAGATGTTTCTCTCTAGGCTTCTAAATAAGTAAAAAATCATATTGCCGTAATGAGGATTAAGTACTTTGCATTCAGAATCTAGTTTTGGTTTAGAGGTATTCAACCAAGAGAGGATGCATTAAAAAAATTGCTGGTGGTTTCTATGCTCTGTTGTTTGAGATGAGCTGTGGATTTGTCAAAGTTCCTTGTTATGGATAGTACTTTAGAAAATGATCATGTGTTTTAGCTAGAACAGCTTTTTTTTTTTTGAACTCTTTTAAGTAGACTTGATAATAGTAAAGAATTAATCTGTGCAGCAGACTACTTTGCATAATCTTCAAAATTTTGGTTACTTCTGAAAGAAGACTATGTGAACAGAATAGTGGTGAAAGCTCACCTGAAATTACACTAACCACTATATTCCTGATTTTTCATATTGCATAGTAAAAGTATTAATACTTTTGATCATTATAGCATCAAAACATCTCAATTTCTGATACTGTCTTCTGTGTACCACTTCGAAAAGATGTACTGTTACTGCTATTGCAAGGACAGGAGGCTTCAGGGTGGCAGAGTCTGTGTAAGTGATCTGAAGAATCTTTATAAGACTTCAGCTGAACCACTCCATGAGCCAGCACACTACCATATCCCATGGTCACACTCTTCCTACTTCTGACATATCTATTACATTCCTGTATTTTTTTGTGTTAAGGACTATCATTTTCTATACATCTAAAATAACAATCTTTTGGCAGCCCTGGGTTGGGAATGAAATGGATAATCCACTAACTCAGAATGTTATACTGCATGTTTTTATACTAACCTCCTGCCTCTATTTTAATGAAGTTCAGGTAACATAGCTTCGTGTTGAACAGAGTCAACTGTAAGCTGTAACAACTCTATAGAAGTACTATCCCACGCTTATCTGTAAGTGTCATTCTTACTCATAGTTTGCCTTTTTATTTAACATCATATTTAAAAATCCAAGCAAGTAAAACACATACATATTTTTAAGTAATTCAGGAAGTGAAATAGGCTGTTATATAAAGATGCAAAAGTTAGGACAGTGCTTCAGGCTTGCTTGTTTTTTAGTGTTGATGTGCATGCATAACTTCTGCCCAAGTGAAGTAAGAAATTGCTGTTCATGAACACGCAGGCTACTAGTCACAGCTCATCATCTTCCAGTGTGCCTAAGTACTGTGTAAGCTGACACACGCAGGGTGCAGGACCAACCACAAAACCACGGATAAAATGCAAAGACTAAATTTATTTTTATTACCTCGCAAACCAGGGGATCCCCCAAGTGGCACCCAGGCGGAGGCACGCAAGTGGGAACACAGGCACCACAGAGCTTGGTCCTTGGTAGAGGATCTCCAAATCTGCTGCTTTTGCCTGTGCATTAGGGATTCACGCAGCCATAGTTCACCGCTGTGCTTTGAATTTTCCCATGGCAGGGCAGGAATCTCAAGTATGTTTGATGGGGTGCCTCGCAGTCTGTCACAGGCCTGTGTTATCTAAACAGAGATGTTCTACTTGTCAAGCACACAAGACTAAATGAGGATTAGTATGACATGTTTTTCTAGGCCCCAGCTGCAAGTCACTTTACAAACCCCCTCTCCAATCTTCCCTATTTTCCATAAGTGCTCCCACAGTTTGCAGCACCCTGTTAGCTTACATGTATGAAATCCTGAATGGGGGTTTCCCAATTTCCTTTTTTAAAAAGGGCATCATAATCTAGTGTTTTACTCTTGAAAGCAGTTCTGTCCCCCTTCATGACAGCATCTGATTGCTTAAAGCTGGCTATGGTAAATCCAGGCACTTGAAACTGATATAGCCCATGGCTTAACCACCTGAACCCCCTCTGAAAAAGGCTTTCTCAAAGGTATATAAACAAAACACTACAGAAGGATCATTTACCCAACTCCACTTAGTTGCATTGCAATTTAGTATTGGTGAATCTTTGTGTATTCTAACATCTCTGAGTTCATCAGACCTAAAAGTTTGCCTGCTTGTAGGTGGTAACATTGTTGATTGTCTTGGTTAAGTAACTATAAATGAGCAAATGGAGACCATCCCCATCCGCAGTGACTCAACAGACTTCTTTTCCCTGCCTGTAGGTGGTAACGTTGTTGATTGTCTTGGTTAAGTAAGTAACTATAAATGAGCAAATGGAGACCATCCCCATCCGCAGTGACTCAACAGACTTCTTCCTGAGTCAGTGTTGTGATGTGCCTTGGCCTTTACCTTCCTGACATTGGGGTGGTTTTTTGTAACCTTTAATGAGTTGGAACAGTTACACATAATTGAAAAAGAAAAACCAAACAAAATTATAATTACTCTTATAGTCCATCATAGAGAAGACCACTATACAGAAAGCTTAATCTGTGGTCTGCCTTAATTAAGTAACTGCTGAGTTTCTGAATGAGGAAGTTAGTTACTGTGTCATAAAACCTTTATTTTTTTAATCAGAAATCATGTCTCCATATTTTTTTTTAATACTAGATTTTAATCTTTTAATGAAATAAAATGATAGCTTAGCTTAAAATGTGATTGTACTTCTTACTAAGTTTAGTTGATTCCCAGAAATCACTGGTTTGAGTGCAGTGTGGAGGTCAGCTGTGGTGTCTGGCAGAGTTTATTCCGGAGTGATGTATATGGATTATAAGTTGACTGTAGGAGTATTGGCAAAATAAGAAGAAAAGGGAAAATAGACACACAGAAATAGAATGTCAGGATGCAGGTTTAAACTTCCTCCTGTTACGTTTCATAGACTTTTCTTGAGGAACAGGGAAAGAAAAAAGTTTAGTGGTGCTAATCTTCAGTCTAAACTGGGGGAGGGGGGAGGGTGTCTTGAAAGGACAGTGTTTCTGTCCCTGTTGCACTTGCTCTTTCAGCTCACTTAGTTTGAGGATTCATGTTCAGGGAAGTAGTTCGTATCATATATAGTTTAGTATCTCATATGTAGAATGTATGAATGCTGAGTCTGTGCAGTGGTTTTAAAGTTGGTGCTGGCGTTTAGAATATGCTGGTGGTGTGGGTCTGCTGGAGTTTGCTGTTGACTTTTGTTTGCCTTGTGCAGACAAAGGGAACACCAGAGATTGTTGTGTACTGTTTGGGTTTTCTGAGTAGGCGTCACAGTAATCTATGGATTGAAACAGGAAACGTTTTAAATGCATATGTAGCTGGATTGCATAAGCCAGGAAGTCATGAGGTGTGTGTTAGAGACAAATTTCTTCTCCCTGATTTCATTATAATATGGGAAAATTATTAACTGAACTCCAGTAGCAAATATATAGTGCTAACAACGGTTCTGCAGTTATAATTGGGGGGGGTGTATACGAACACGCAAAAATGTAAGTGTGTATATATAAAGCTGTTTGTATGTGTATATATCAACAAATCAAAACCCTCTGCCTGAATATGGTGTCCCAACAAGCTGCTTTGGAACTCCAGTTGTACAGTTTCCCTGTAAGAATGAGGTGCTGTGCGGACACCCAGCTGTGCTCTCATTCTCCTATTAGGATGTAACTGCCTAGCCCCTGTTCCACAGAGTAGCTTGTTTAGGTGTCTTTACACAGCAG